AATAATCTTGAGATTGTTGATGCATGGGAATTGTAGAAGATGGTGATCCAAAAGGCTAAATTAATTTTTTTTTAAATGAAAAAGAAGTTAGTTTTTAAAATAAATAATTTTACTTTTGTATTTGCATTCCGATTAGTAGATTGTGTTGGTGGTAGACCTTGATAAACTCCACCATCTAGTGGCAATGATGGAGGTGTTGTTGTTGTACTTGGATGAGATTGAGGTATATGTGATGGTAATGGTATTGGCCTATTTGGAGGATAGTTTGATGGCGTTTGTAAACGACCATTTGGTGGACTGATATTGATGTGATTGTTTGGAAGTGATTTTCCATCAATTTGTCGATCAATATCTAATGAGATAAATGGTTGTGGTTTTTCTTCACCTAATAAAGAAAAAATGGAAACAAAAATAAGATTAAATAGTTTTGTTTTGTTTATAAGTGTTATTGTTGTTTTTTTTGTAACCTGGTTGACGAAAATCAGGAGCAGCTGCTTTAGCACATGATCGAGCTTCAACGCTATCATTTCGAGCTTGTTTTGCATAAATTTCAGCTGAATGAGCTTTTGAACGAGCATTATTTGCTCTAAAATAATAATGTTTTTTAATATTAAAGAATATGAGTTTTTGTTTTTTTTTTTATTAAACTTTTACCTCGCCATAGCAATTTCAGCCTTTTGTTGTGCTGATGTTGCAAATTTCATTGCATGATTAAGAGCAGCATCAATTTTATCACGAAATTTAGATGAACGAATTAAAAATAATTTACTTGGTTTACGTTTATCGGTTACCAAAACATTATTTTTATATTTTCCCTCCTCCTTAGTACCATCACGAAATGTTGTAACTCCATAACCATTCTTCTTATTATTAAACCATTCACCTTCATATTTTAAACCATCTGAACGTTCAGCTATACCAAATCCAGTACGTTTATCAGCTTTCCATTCACCCATATATGTTTCAACAACATTATTATCAAGTATATCATCTTGAGATATAAATGAATGATCACCATCATCTAATGTACCAAATGAATTGGGTGTATTTGGATGTGATGACATTATTGTAGCTGTTTTAACTGAATGCTTTGAATCACCACTAACTGTACTTGCTGTTGAGCGAAATGAACTTGTCTTTTTTGTTATCGATAAATCTTCAATATCACTCGTAGATTTTTGTTTACGTAATTTTGATAGAAGAGTTTTACGTAATGATGTACGACGGTCGGCACTATTTGATAATGAACCACGACGTGGTCCTTGACTAGCACTACGAGATGATGGATCATGTGGTTCAGATCTTGAACGTAATACAAATCCACCACGATTGTCATCCATACGTTTGTCTCGTTCACCTAAATAGATGAATTAAAAGAAAGAAAAAAAAAAATATACATATATTGTTTTTTACTCTAATGAATCTTAATATAAAGCAAAAAAAATGACAAGATACTCACGTTGTGTTCGTTCATCATCTTCTTCTGAACGAAGTGATGTTAAAGAATCGCGTACATCTTTTGATCGATAACGTGATGCAACACCATATGGTACACTTCGTCGGATACCAAAACCATGGCGTAATCCTTGTTGTATCTGACCATGATAAATACCACCATCTGCATATATTTCAACTCCATATCCATCTTGAAGGCCATTTGCCCATGTGCCTTCATATCTAGCGCCTGAAATATCCGATACACGTATACCATATCGTCCTTTAAAGCCTTGTGTCCATTCGCCTTTATATATCCATCTTCCTTTTTTCTCAACACCCAATCCATGTCGTTTTCCACTCATCCATTGTCCTTCATATGAGTTTCCTGCCGGCTGTAATAATAATAATATATTAATAACAGTGAGTTATTTAAAAAAAAATTAATTAAAAAAATATAATTACCCATAAATAGATACCCGAAAATTCATAACCAAATTGCCATGCACCCGAATATTCACCTTGACCTTTAGGACCTGTACAAACACCGTGTCCATGTGCTTTACCATCATTCCATCCCCCACAATAGGTACCGCCGTCATCAAAATCGAAGCGACCTCCATTCACTCCGACGTTCATTCGGGCGTCCGTTCAATGATGATCAACAGTGGCGGCAATAGCAGCAGCAGCAGCATCGACAACGACGACAAAGACGACGATGTCGATGATAGTAAAAGAAGAATATTGAAAAGAAGAAGTGGTAGGGGGTCACACAGAATCTTTGTAATAGCACTAGTAGTAGCAGTAGAAGAAGAAGAAGAAGGAGGAGGAAATGAGAAGGACGACGGTGCAACTATGATGTTGTGAAGAGTAGCAGCAAATTTGAATGTGTTGTCTTCACAAGTTGATCAATTTCCAGTAAAATACAGTGATGCACAATGATGCTGCCATGTGCGTTTGGGCTAAAAATACTAAATATGAGTAAGTAAAAGACAAAAAAACGGAAATCGCACACAAGAAATACACAAGCAAGCACAGTATTGCCCGAAAGACAAAAAACCTCGATCAAACACTCCCCTCCTGCTGCTTGTTAGCGATATTCTGTAGTCGTGTCACACATATTGTTTTTCTTTTTTTTTTACCCTCATCTACAAATATAAATGTAGACAAAAGAAAAACATGACATGAGCTTCACATACTCAATCAGAACGATAGGAATTTTCTAGTAGGAACATTGTGAGAGAGAGAAAAAAAACAATGAACTTCACAGATTTTCTGATCACACACGTCATTACTCATCAACTGTCAAAACAGTATTCTTTTTTGCCTATTGTCACAAAATAATGCTACTGATGTCTTAGTTTCAGTGCGTCTCTTTTTGTCTATTGAAAAGAAACTATCTATACTTGAAATTGCATCACAATACAAGCCCGCGTGCATGGCAAAAGCTTACTCCAGACAACGATGGAGGGCGATCAGGGAAAGAAAGAAAACGAGAAAAAGAAGAAGAAGAAGAAGAAGAAGAGACTTGGTGGTCTCCGAGCTTTGTGTCGCACGCGCCTGTTTATTTATTTTTGCTTTTAGGTTGTGAGCGCATTACACACGTTGGATTCTTCCTCTGTTTTTTTCTTTTTTCACAGGCAGCAGCAGGCAAAGAAGAAGAAGAAGAAGAAGAAGAAGCTAAAAATGTAGATGAAGTAGAAGAAATAGAAGAAGAGGAAGAACAAGCAGAAGCAAGAAACGCAGGAAGAGTAATACGGAAGGAATTGTCGTCGGTCGTCGTCGTCCTCGACTGATTGCAACGCAAGCGTGTGGCACAATAACGGGGAAACAGAGCGAGTGTATGTGAAAGAAGAGAAAAAAAAGAGCAAAAAATAGAGAAATATTAAAAATACTAATAAATACGCCGCATATACGACGAGACCGACGACGAATGACGATCTCTGGAATGCACATAAATACACAGCAATGGCAGTAGGAGCAGAGAGCAGAACAACAACAACAATAACAACAACAGACGATGATAACGATGAGACTGTTGTTGTTGTTGATATAGCACGGTGATAGAAGTATAGCGACAACGCATTTTCTAAAGGAAAATGGACTCTTCTTTCTTTCTATCTCAATCTCTTCGTTCTTCTCCAGTAGAATATATGTGGTTGGATGACAAAATAGATAACTTGGCATTCACTAAGCAGAAGAAGTACTAGTGTTTCCTTTCAACCCATTTCTCTTCTTTTCCCTCTCTTCAACACATCTTCTTTGACGCTCTTCCCGTTTCAAGTGTGCACAGACACATACCGCATTTCTTCGTGTATCTGTGTATGTATGTGACTGGCACACCACACACACACACACATAAGAAAAGCATGTCATGATTATTCGATGTGCTACTCTCATACTCATCAATGCCATGTAGACAAGGCTTATAAATCGATCGTGCGCTTGTTTGTTCGTTCGTTTGTTCCTTCTTTAATCATACTGTTAGCGAGAGTTTGACGAACATGCAAAGAAAGAAAATTCATCTAGCATTTTTTTTCCTATCAAACATGCTCTCTTCTTCTTCTTCTTCTTCTTCTTCTTCTTCTTCTTCTTCTTCTTCTTCTTCCAAGTTACCTGTTCGAATCGTCTGTCTCATTGTCATATCGGTATACGAAAGAAAAAAGAAACAGCATATTGACGGACAAAAAGACAATCTCTGGCTTTTTCCGCCTTTGATATGGGCAACAGCATAGCATTGGTATCAGGAATTTTTCCCGTCTCCTTTCTATCATAAGTCAAGGTTGGACATTTGTAGCATCAGAATAGAAAGAGGAAAAAAAAAAGAAAGACGGGCATGATAATTTGAGCAAGGACATCTCATGGATCATTGATAAATGCACGATGGGCAAACTCCATTAGCAGTTACGCCAACGATATCTGTCGTCTTTCAACACAATCGTATTCAATATAATATCAAAGACGAACATTTCATATTCTTAATTATCACAAATAACAAATATGTATAGATTTTGTTAGATCAATTATAAATCTTTCTATAATATTCTTGATAACAATAACCTTGAACATGCTTGGAATGTTCATTTTCATAAATATCTATATGTCATATGATACTTTCTATTATATATATATGCAATACAACGAGACAATTGGGTAGATAATTCATGGTGGATGTATGTGTGCGACAAAGTACAAGACACGGCACACACAAAAGACAGCAAGAGCAATCTTTGAACAAACAAAACGAAAAAAAAACCGAAAGAAAGAAGAGAAAGATACATAGGATGTGCACACGTACAGTTGCTCACTTTGCGTTAAGCTTACGTTGAGAAGTTCACGATCATCATCACCTCCTTGTACAGATTCATCTTTATCTTTTTTTCTTCAAAAGTGCATCTACAATGAAAGTTTATTCATTCTTTATTTAAATATGATATAAAAAGAAAAGCCTTTTCTTTTATACATCACAAAAATAATTCATCTTATCTATACAATCTTCTTTGCTATTCTGTTTATTAATTTTCAATACAAAAAAAAAAAAGAATAGATATTCTTCTATGTTTCATATGTTTTCAATTTGGTTATTATTACTAATAACTCAATCAATCAATATCATCATTGCAATAAATTTACGTTGTAATGAAGATATCAATGGATCTTTTCAAATAATTGAAAATTGTCGAGCATGTGTTATTTTTATTGCTCCTGCAATTTTATCTACACCTAGTACAACAACAAAAGCGACAACTTTAACAAAAAATATGTTTACATCATATGCTGAACCATCATTAGAAGAACTGTTTTTATTTGGTGAAGCAAAACGTCGTCGTCGTCGTCGTCGTCGACGTGATGTTGATACAATAATTCATCAACAATGTGCTCGAGAATTAGACGGTCCATTATATGGTTACGATCAAACACATTGTTATTGTAATTCTAATCAATGTAATTCAAATATTCAACGATGTATTTATGAAGTAACATCAAAACGTCATTTTGCATGTTATCATGGTTCTAATTCCAGTTTATATCCACTTGAAATTCGTCATAAATGTCGTAGTTGTCGTATACGTACGGAATTTAAGTCTATGTATCATTATGAATGTTTAATATTTGGTGAACGTGAACAAAATAATCGAACTCATTGTACATGTCAACGACCAATGTGTAATCAAGATGTATCAACATGCCAACGATTTCAACAAGCACCATCTCAACCACGATTAAATTTAGCTCTTGATGTTCCTTTGAATTCAACTATATCAACAACAATAACAACAACAACAATGTCTACTAGCACCTCTACTATAAAGATATTCATCGCAACAACAGCAACAACAACGACAACAACAACAGCATCGACCACTACTTCTAGTAGTAGTACTAGTATGACTACGACTGTTATTACTACTACAAGCTCAACTTCGAGCTCAAGTACTACTACTACTACTACTACAATCGCAACCACAACGATTGTAACTACAACATTACCAGTTACTACAACGCCAATCACAACTACATTACCAGCTATAATTGAAACTGAAGAAGAAATTTCAATTGAAAATTCTACAATAATTGAATTGACAAGTACAAATGAAATAACAACATCATTTAATGAAATACAACATCTTAAGACAGTGTATATTGATGTTAAAAATCATGGAAATTATTTATTATCGAATTTTCTTTTAATTTGTACTTTATTTCAAACATTTTTTTCCTTTTTATTTATTCGATGCTATTACTAGCTTTATCCGTTAGACAGTATACATACATACATATATATAAACATATATCAGTAAAAGATATATTTGAACAATGAAAAAAAAAAGCCATCTACAAGGCAAATGTATATAACCGTGGATTTGTTCATTAGTGAACAACGAGCGATTGATCCCTATGTAAGCTATGAAAACAATGTCAATAGTCGTAGAGCTATTCTTAACAAACAAATAATGTCTCTCGACTTGATACATTTATATATCGATATAGTATACTAATCTTTCGTCAATTTTGATTTGAATAATCAAGTTCAAGTACAAAACGAAAAAAAAAGAGATTAATAATTGTTATGAAAAAGATATTTATCTTTTCAATAGTAAAAAATATCGACTCTTTTTCAATTAATAAAACATATTATCAATTATAATGTATATAATTAAAATTTATTTTTTTAAATATTATACGAATACCATAATGAAATAATTAATTTCAAAAATAAAAAATTTTTTTTGCTATGAGAATGATCTCTATTGTAATCAAGAGTATCACAATGAATAGACTATCTTCGTGATATATAAAAACAAAGGCACAAAAATTATACTTCTGTCATCAATTATCGAATCTTACTATAACAATATACTAGAAAAACATTTTACTTGAACAACAAACATTTGTCCTTCTTTTTTTTACCAAGTTTGTTTATTAGAGGCAATCAGAAGAAGTTGTTTAATTTGCTTTGTATAAATTATTTTATCTATAAATAAAATATATCTTTTATTTCTAGTTCCATTCGTCATTCCTATCTAGCATACAATCTAATCATTGATCTGATTGCATTCATTTAGTCTAAATTCTATAATATATACATATGTTTAAACTTACGCTTCATTAATAAATAATTAATAAATAAGAAACTTATATATATGTATATATATCGAAAATGACTTGATAAGCTTACTTAACATGAATAATTTCTCTAATTTACTCGAACAAATTGAGATTTAAGTTTAAATTCTCGTGACTGTATACGTGGGCATATTCTACTTTTTACATTTTTCTATGAATAATGTCACGTCAGCACATATTACATATTAGCACATCCGCCAACTCAGTTTTTTTTTATTGTCAGCAATATCATTTTATATAATAATTGTTTTGAAACTCTATATTTGTTTTTCTTTAACATTCTCGCATTCATTAAATTTTTTTATATGATTAGCCTTTGAACATTATGCAAATTAGTTTTTTCTTTTTTTTACTATTTATTCTTTTACAAATATATCAGATAAAAGTTAAAAAAGAAAATATTATTACTATGATATCATTTGGTTTAGCTAGAAAATATCGATGACAGTTTTCTAATGTTATATGACATCCCTAATGTGATGCATTAACGTCATTTGATGTGTTTGTTTCAAGAAATGCTTGATTTTGTTTTATCAATCTATCCTACGTAATTCTATGAAAATTAAACAATTTATCAAGTTTTGTTTGTTCAATCAAAATTGACAAATGATAGATGCTTGTATATTTCTTATATTTAAAAATAAATCTAAGTGATACACTTACAAAAAGAAACATAGAAATGATATTAGTCGTATATATAAAATATATTCGAACAGTTACATTGATTTCTAGATTATTTTATAAATTCAAAAATAAAATATATATGTACATGACGTACTTGAACAATTTATTAATACATAACGAATATTTAACTGTATGTAACTTAATAACAACAAGTAAACAATTAATTTATATTTTCTTTAAACTTTCAAGACATAGTTCATTGTATATGAGCATGAGATAAGTTCAGCGACATTATTTTAAATATACTATGAATTGAATTTTTTTAGTGTATCTAGTAAAGAAAAAATCATACAGTAAATTTAATTAGAAGTAGTTCACTCTATATATGTTTGATAATATGAATATATCGCAAAATCTAGAAAAAAGCTTTCAGTGTAATCCTTAATGCATGAGTGAGTTTTATGAATTTGGAAGTTATGGAACTCATGAGACTCCATTTAATTTTAAATAATAAGTGGTTTCGAAGTACTCATATGTAACCGTGTACTCTTTGTAAAACATTGCGGGCCACGAATGAAGCAGCTCGACTCGCAGTTGTTCGCTTTTCAAGATTGAATTCCGATGTCAGGGAATTCAAATAGTGCTGTTATAGCAAAATCATAAAATGTTGAACTGACTTCGCTTCATTCATACCAATGGATTTTTTTCTAGGTTTTTTTTCCGTCGTTCTAGATTTTTCAGACAACACAGGCATTTTATCTAATTCTAAATATTTGATCCGTTTATGTAACACTGCTGATAAATAAAATACGCTGTTTTAGTGTTTGTTAGACTCAAACAAATATCTTGTCAATATAGAATGAAACTTTTTTTTTTAGGATAAATATAAAATTATCATAGCACTAAGTTCTCGATGACATTAAAAAAAACCAACAAAAATGTAATAATAATATTGGGTTGGCGAGAAAGTTTTTGCGTTTGTTTTTTTGAAAATTTTATTTTTATTTTTTAACTTCAAGAATACAATTAGCTCTCAAGAATGTAAGCTCCATTACCGTCTATGACTTGTTGCCAACGTTCTGGTAGAGAAAGGATCCTGCACTCGTAGAAGTCTTGAAACTTTTAGGCAAAGAAGTTGCCAAGGTCCATTTTGAGGTCGTTCTCGTCGTCGAATTTTTTCTCACGTAAATAATCAGACATAGAACGGTACAAGTGGTAGTTCATAGGAACTAAGTCTGGAGAATAAGGTGGATGTGAAACCGTAATCCATCCGAACTTCAATAATTTTTCATGTGTCGACTTTGCAATATGAGGTCTGGCGTTATCATTTAAAAAAGAAATTCTATCCTGCTTCCCATGGAGTTTTGCTGCAACTCGATCCAATTGTTGACAATAGAGATCAGCAGTGATGTGCCAACCAGTTGAAAGAAGTTCCCCATGAATAATTTCTTTTAATCCCCACCAGACGCTCAGTCTAATCTTCTTTGGATGAAGTTCATTCTTGGGCGTTGCTATACCTGCTTGTCCAGTTCCTAGCACCTGCCGCTTGCGCGTATGGTTAACATACAACACCCACTTTTCATCACCAGTAATAAGATTGTGGAGCCATTGGTAATTGCGATAAGACGTCATTAATTCCATACAAGCGTCAACCCTGAGTTGGAGCTGACGTGGTGACAACTCCTGTGGTATCTAAGTACCATATTTCCACGTTTTGCCTAATTCTTTCAGGTGTGTTTCTATTGTAGCATGAAGGCACCCAAGTCGCTTTGCTAAACACCGTGTAGTCAGTCTAGAATCTTCTTCGATGAGCTGCTTCAAAACATTCAAATCCACCTCTAGTGTTCTTCTGGAACGAGGTAAATCGTCGAGTTCTAAATTATTGTTCTTGAACCGATTGAACCAATGTTGCGCTGTACGAATGGAGAGTACATCCTTGCTCATCGTGCTACATATGTTTCTGGTTACTTCCGTTGCTTTATGACTCAAACGAAATTCATGAAGCAAAAGCACCCAGAGGTCTCTATGAGATATCTTCAATTCTAATTCAAGATCAACGTCCATATCGATGATTTTGTTATTGTTCGAAAGAAATTCTACCCCCTTATATACCCTCAGTATGAAAACTTCTAAAACTTTCTTGCCTGTTCTAGGAAAATTAAAGAAAAAACGCAAAAACTTTCTGGCCAACCGAATAATAAACATGTTAAGTCATGAAACAAAATATCTTGTTGTAAATAGTAAAAAGAATAGACTATCGACAAAAAAAGAAATATTATTGATAATGAAAAATATTCGACTATGAATCCATCTTCTTTATTTTAAGTACAAATTTTTCTTATTCTTTAAGATTGCTAAAATGTCTACATTCTATATAAACACCATGCATACATGTATAGATTTTTTAAAGAAAAAAACTCAAATGGTATACGTCTATGAATGATGTAAAAAGAAATATTGTTATGGATGATGTGTAATAACAGTTCAAGAGTAATCGAATGAAAGTTACCCCCGTGATGAAATTCGTATGAAGACTCCTTTTACATGCAAACAAGTGTTTTCTTGAATAGTTACTCGAAATAGCCTCTAGTATCTTTAAAGTCTATGTTTAAATAGCCAAAAAACAATGGATACTTACAAATTGAAATCATGTTTTAGACGAATGTAACATTTTTCTGTTTAATTATTAAACATGCATATAATTATAATTAATTTAAGCAACAAAAAAAGCGTTTTTCCTGTCATGCTCATATTAACAAACATAGAATATCTCGCACATAATTGTTTTATTTCCTTACAGAAAAAAACCTAAGCAGATCTGTGATATACATGAGTTGATCAAAACTCAACAGAACTCTTTCGACCTTTTTCATTATTTAGGAGTATACTACCATCTTCAAAATGCATACTCACTTTTTTCCTTTTTTTTTTTATTAATTAGCTGTTTGAAATTTTTCTTCATCGTATCTACTTTATATCATTGTAGTAGAAATTCATTTTTAATTCTTTTATAGATAGGCACGTCTTCGTACAATATTATAATTTTATAACTTCTAAATAATTTTATCTTATATGATATAATGAAATCTAAACGTTATTAAGAGATCAACTAAAAATACTGGAAATAGATTATTTGGCTTCTCGACCATTTTCTCTTTAAATTCGATAATTCAAAATTAGAATCTTTTGGATTTCAACTGTCATTAATACTAGACCAAGTGAAATATCTATATTCTTGCTTATGGAGATAATGTTTTAAGTCATGAGTTAATGGTACATGTAATCAGATTAAACATAGTATGAATGTACTCTTTTATTAAATATCTTTATTTCTATCTTGATCTTAATAATCAGACTTGACTGATAGTTTTCTAATTGAAACTTACTAAACATATATTTTGCTTCTTGGAATACTATAAATAATGGTATTTTTTTAATTAATTCTAATCTGTATACTGTCAGTAGAAAAAAAAGAACAATTTAATTCGTTAAATTA